TTTGGAACTTCTCATTTCTACTTTATAAACTATCACAGTTGGGACTATAAAGCATACTTCTCCGCTCTTCCAAAAAGATTAATTAACCTTGTAAAATACAAATGTAATCATACCTTGTTTTTCTTTACAGAAAAAAAGTGTTTTTCCCAAATCATTTTTAAGCAAAATTTATTAACAAGGGCTCCAGACTCCTGCTTCTATTTTTAAGCTTCTGTTCCCTTCCTAAATTCTCTGCATCTATTTCTTCCTCTGAGGACTTCCCATCTTCAGCTGTAACCCTTTGTAACAAGTTTTGTCAGGGTTCTCAAAGCCAACTTATGCTGATCTAAACCCTAATCCAAAATTAGTACCATATGTGTTTCCTCCATATTGTGATTTGTCTGACGTTTTGTACCAGGCTAGTTATTCCTTTCTGATGTCATCTCCATACTGTCACCCACAGGGTGGAAACGTCACCCAGTGCTCCAGCTAACTCTTCTGGCAAACCCAGGCTGAGTTTGTAAATCAGGGAAAACTGGCACCCTCTTTTGGGATGCACAAAGCAAAAAGTCATCTGCTCATTTCCAAGTGCCTTCTGTGGTCTCCAGCCCCTCTCTGACAACACTAAGTACTTTTGTTTTAACTGTTGATTTTTATTATTCTGTGGTTTCAACTGCCTCAAAAATAAAAATAAAAAATTAGGATCTCCCCAGTGCCTACCATGGTGTTTATTATTTAGTGGGTATGCCCAAAAGATGTGAGATCATGCAGATGTGACTTGTGCCTTAGTGCTGCAATGTAGATGTGTAAAAATGAAACTAAAAAGCCAGAAAAAATGCAGCAATATCACAAAAATAAGGACAGGGCAAAGCAGACCTTGAATTGATTTTTAAATGTGTTTTTCAATGTATCATTAATAAAAGTGTTTTTTTCCTTATCCTTTTGGTAACTAGCATTCCCACTTCAATGGGAATCTTGGTCCTTCTGTGAGATCATTCCCCTACTCTTGGTATTGTTCAGGTGAATTGGCCATCATTGGCTTCTTTTCACTCTACAGTGTGGTCAGAGTCTCTCCCATCTTAAAAATTAAATAAAAAATGCCCTCACTTAGCCTTGTGGTACCTTGCAATAACATACTATATTTTCTTCAAAGAAGAGAAAAAAATGGGAAAAAATCATAGATAGTTCCTTTTCTTCATCAGCCCATTCTTGATACATTGCTATAAAATAACCAATAGCCTGACCAGCATACACAGCAGTGACCCTGTCTCTTTTGAGCCTGAGATAGGAAGAGTTTTAAGTTAAGGACCATTGTTCAGCTATGTAGAGAGTTTTAACCTTTAAAAACTGATTGTGATGATAGTAAACTTCTGTTTTCTCATTGTTGAAATAATGAACTGTTTAGTCTCCACTTAAATGATCTGCAGTGTTGCTGTTATTAACACGGCATGATCGCTTGCCAGGGGCTTCCTTCTTCTGCCAGAGTCTTTCTTCCACCTTTCCTGCTCCTTCCTGGTCTCCTCCCATTGGAGCCTCCTCTTGTTCTCCAGGGCCTGCGGCTGGTGCTCCCTGGATTCTCTCCTTCCCACTCCACTTTCTTCCCTAGATTTCTTACTACATATCCCCTCCCTCGGTGATCTCATTCACTCATATCAATTTTTAATTTCTATTCATGCCACTTAAATGATTTATTCATTTATCACACCACTTAATACTACATATGTTGTTAGTCCAAAATTCTTACCCTGAACCCATATGCTTCAAATATATGTTTCTTTAGGCAATTCCAAACGCTTTTCACCTTGCATACCCTTGGACTCAGGCTGAATTCCTCACCCTGTGACTCTTCCTGTAGCTTCTATTGCAGGTCATGATAGCACCTCCCACACAACATCTGACAGTAGACTGACATCTCCTTTCTGGCTCCTCACAGGTAACCCTGTGAAGCTCCTCCCCTCAATATCCATCCAATTGTTCTCTCCTCCTCCTTCTAACTCTTCTTCCTCAGTTGAGGATTCTTACCTATGCCTGGGGTACCGATTAAAGGAAACATTGGCTCATCCAGGTCTGTGGATTGTCCTTTAGTCCATCCCGGCACAGCACAGAGATACTTCTGAGAACACATCATTTCTCTCTGTATCTTTCTTTCACCCACTGATTTCCTTTTGACTACAGGACAGAACTAAAACACTTCAGATGGCCTAAAAGATGCTCCTTAGCTCTCCAGACCTGCTCCTCACAGCCACCCCTCAGCTCCTCACCTCAGCCATACTTACTACACACAGTTCTCTGAATACAGGGTTTCTTAAAGTCCCCCTCATGTTTCTTGTATAAATTTCTCTCTGTAGAGCATCCTCAAGTCTGGATACTTCCATTTCTGGTTCTTTATAATTAAAAAAAATCCTAAAATCAACTCAATGCAATGTCTGCTTTCTCCAGATCTTTCTGGGACTCCTATGTCCAGGCTTTCATGTGTCTCCTGCACATGCTCCAAGACAGCCTGTTACTGCATGTAAAGCTGGGTTGCGAACCAGCTTCCCTCAGAGTTCGTAGCTCGTGGCTGAGGATCTATCACATTTGCCACTGTGTGGCCAGTCTTTTGCTCACTTGATCTGAATTCATGGAGACTGTGTATATAGTTATTTCTTTTATTTTTGACTTTCTGTCTTCTTAACTGCTTGGTATTTTTACACAAGCATGTTTGTTAAAATTCCCAAGACACCTGCAACTTTTTTATTCCTATTAGTTCATATGAAACAGTGAAAAAATGCACATTCATATTTTGTCACCGCATCAAATTGAATCTGAAATTGCCAGAAAACAGAAGTAATATTTCTATTGCTGTTTCTACAGCAAAGATGTATCAGATATGTTTTCTTAAGAAATATTTGCGTTACACAAGGTGAAATCAACGTATCACACGGCCACGCTACGGAAACCTTTTCCAGATGTTTGACTCCGAGTCACTTCCTTGTAACCTTCTCTCCACTGTTCCAGTTTCCATTTCTTTCAAAGAGGCTGCCAAATGTTGTGCCAAGTGTTTCATCTTGCCCCACCTCTGTCTCCACCCTTTAATCTTGAGGTACTTACTAGTACACACTGTTCCTTCTTGTACAGGTCATTAGCCCATCTCTAGGCAAAGGTGAAAAACAAATCGCACATGGTCCTCTAGAGACCACGGCCCTGTGAGCTGATTGCTCATGAGAATGACCGAGGAAAGGCCTTTCCGTCCCTGCCTGAAGCATCACTCACATCCTCCAGCATCTTCCTCCCTCTTGTAACCACTTAGCTCCAGGTCAAGGGAGCTGGAAATCCCCAATATCCTTTCAACAGCTCTCTGTGTAGTTTAGTGAGAAAGCAAGCAACCATATCAGTAAACCTCAGGTGGATAAACATTTACAATCAGAAGGTGTATGAAATGGCTTTTTGGAGGAAAAGGAGGGACCCTGAACGTTATTTGATAAAAGAGAGAACGGTTCAAAAAAAAAATGTGTCCCAATTCACAAAAGTGAAGAAACCCTGGGTCTGGTCACAAAGAAAAGTAAGTGTCTTGAAGACACAGCCAGGGAGTAGGTGCTGCTGATGGAGAATGACACAAAGTGTTAAACAGAACACTCTAGGGATTTGCAAAGGATGGCATGTTGAACCATTTTCAGAGTGTATGTCTTTGTCATTCTTTATACTCTTAGACATCTTGCAGAGAAGTTGTGTTACTTCTGTTCACCACTAGCTAAAGTTAAAACAGATGTGCAGAAGGTACTTAAAGTAATCTCAGGCCCAGAATATGCATTAATGCCCACTCCCATCATTAATGCTTTATAAGCAATGAAACCAAAGCCCCAAGATCACATAGTGGTAAGTGGCCTACTTGTTATCAGAACCTGAACATACTTACAGCTTGCTATCTATCTGTAATATGGAATGGGGTTTTTACTCTAGAACTAGACCAACCAAGCAATGACCCCATCGACTTGTGTGAATTATAAAAATGAGTGGAATGGGAAAATGCTACACGATCATAAGACAAATAATAGTAAAGAAAATAGTAAGACATAAACTAAATCAAATGTCTTCAAATATGATGCAATCATGTCAATATTCTGAAATCAGCAGAGCAAAGTGTGTGGGGGGAATATTATGGTGCACACTCATAATCTGGCTACTGGAGTGACAGAGATAGGGAGGTTGCAAATTTGAAGCCAGTTTGATACTTTGTGAGATACTGTCTCACACTGATTAAAAGGAGTTCTACATTGTAGCTCAGTGTTATTCTGTTGCTATCATGAGGAAGACCATACTTTCAACTTCAATACCAAAAGAAAGGACTTGGGGTGAGGGGGGACTAGGAAATTTATGCAAATGAATCTGAGATTCCTATTTAGGTTACCAAATCACAGAATTTCAGAACTAAGGGAACACATTAGGAAGGATTTGCCCTTGATATCACAGAGGATAAAACCAATACCTGATGTTAACATGACTTCTCCAAGGTCTTGCAATTTGAGATGTAGAAATTCTAACAAATACCAGAGTTAATTATCCTGCTTGGAAATCTCTCCCTTAAAGTCAAGAGTTCAAATCTGACATCCTACCTCCCCTCCCCCACCCCACAAAATAAGGTCATTTTTATTAACCTAAATTTCTAAATCACATCACAGGTGTCAACCTGCACGGACAACAACAAGCCGGCGGTGAGAAAGGAAAGGGAAACAGATGTTGCTTTAAGGTATAGACAATCCCATGTTTCCCTGCTATACCTAATCGGAAAATCCATATCCCTTCCTTGCAAACCGCTAAACCAGAGACAGAATGTTAGAGCACCAGACCCCTGTGTGAATCTCCCTTTTCAAATGTTACATGCCTGCAGACAAGTTGTGGAAAGTGCAGTTATCCCTCACTGTAAGCCACGGGAAGATTTCCTCCCTTCCCTCTGCCTTGCACATGCCTAGAAAAAGTGCTTCATCTCAAAAATTTATCCAGGGCTCTGGTCGGCTTGGGATCTAGGAGGCGGGAGAAAGTACCTGAGTGCCTGGGCTCTGCACATCTGTTGGCAGTGGAAGCTCCAGAATACAGGCTTATGGTGGTGTCATCGTCAGCCAGCATGTCCCTCGTGCTGCTGTATTTGGCCTGCATCCTGATTCCTGCAGATCTGCGGGTGAGATGTGCTCAGACTGCTCCAGGCCCAGTGTCTAACGTCAGATACCTCAGGAAACCAGGCAGGGAGAGGCATTCCTAATGGTCTCTCCCTGCAAGCAGCAGGGGAAGCCTCTGACTCCAGTTCCTGCATGGAGAGGCCCGGCCCCTCCCCTGTGAGCTTGTTCTCAGAATGCCAACTTGGTCTGACTGAGGGGAAATAGCTTGTGTTTTCTGGCTGGGCGGTTCCTGAACAGTTATTACAATATCTGAATTATTTCAGACCTTATGTGTATCTGTTTACAAGTCTTTCGATTGCAAGGTGGGGATGACCAGCCCTCACAGCAGCACTCAGGGTCCTCTGACTAAATCTTAATCAGAGCTGGACACAGCTTCTTACCTAACATGCATCACAGGCTGATTACTCACCTGTACCTTTGGGGAAGGAGAGGAAACTTCCTGTCTCCAAGGGCAGAGTGCAAAACATCATTCACGGGAAGTCCGAGCAGCCGACCCCCCTGAGAGAATCCAATCAATTAGATTCTTTCATTTTACTCAAAAAGAAATCGAAAGCTATCTAGGTGAAGTGATTACTTTAGAAGTCACAAAGCTGGTTAGGGTCAGATTAGCTCTGAAAGGTCTCTCCTGGTGTCAACATCATGCTCTTCCTTCATACAATATCTGGACTTGATTTAACAATTTATAACACCCCAGGCACATTCAGATCACTAGCAATCCCATGCCCTCATAGCAGTCCCAAACGTACAGCACTGTTACTAACCACTGTGCAACTTGGGGAAGACAACTAGCAATGTGTGCCTACACTTGGTAAGTCAAGACAAGAAAAGAGCGAATTGTCTCAGTGTCCAGCAGCTCCTCCTGCATCCGTATACTTTAATCTATTATTTGTCTGGTTTTTGTGAAGCAACAAAAGACTACCTAAGACCAGATAATTAATACACAATAAAAAGTCATTTCTCATAGTTCTGGTTCAAGATCAAGATGAAATCAATGGTGAGATGGGGGATACAACCTCGGAGGACTATACTGTGGCCATCATGTGGTGGAAAGAGTGGTGACAAGCCAGCAAACAATATACACATACATACATACATACATACATACATACATACATACATACATACATACGTTCATGGGGGTGTGATTAGTAATGGCTGACTAAGACAAGGTACTAAATACCAACTAGTGTTCAGAGTTAAGCCTGCTAGAGCCTATAAGAGACCATAAGAAACTACAGATTGTGTGTTCACATGTGTTTCAAATTGTGTGTTGTTCACCCGATTTTTATAAACTTGAGATAAGTAATAATGGGAACCATCTATTGAATAAGGACTTGTGAAAAAGTCACAGGTCGTTTGTATTGGGTTGAGTATTCGAATGCTGTAGAGAAGGAAGGAGGCAGTAAGAATTCTGAAGGTCAAGCCATGTGAGTTGCAGAGGACATGAAGTATTAAGAAGCTAGAATGTTAAAATTTACAGAGCAGTTCTGATAGTGCACATCTGTAACTCCAGCATTCGTGGGACTGACCTGGAGGATCGTAAGTTCAAAGCCAGTCTGAACTTAGAGAAAGACTCTGCGAAAGGTAGGAAAAAGGAAAGAAAGAACAAAAGGAATAAAGAATAGAAGAAAGGGAGAGGGAAGGAGGCGGGAAGCGAGGGAGGAAGGAGAAAAATAAGGGGATAGAAAGAAGGAGGCAAGGGTGTATTTGAAAGGAGAGAAATTACACAGAGCAGGAACATAAAAAGGGGATTTCACTAACTATGTTTCTCATGAAACAATAAGACAGTAACCAGAACTCTGGTTATTCAGGTAGATCCTTGCTAGTTTTCAACCACATATATTGATGTTTGTACTATGTTCCTTAAATATTTATCTCAGCAATGAAAATATTTTTTAAGCATGCTATGCTGTAGGTACGAAGTCTTTTGGAAACAAATACCCCTAGCTCCTTTAAAGCTTACGTTCCGACTGCTGTAAATGTTGAGGCAAATGTACAAAGGAGCTCAAGGAAGGCTGATAATTGGAAATAGAGTAGCCAGAGGATGCCTCATTCACTTAAAAGGTGAAATGTGTTCAGACTTAGGAAACAAAAGGCTACGTAGTCATCTTAGTGAGGCTCACGCAAAGAGGCAAAGAGGGAAGATGAATCACAAAGATTTGGGAAGGAAACATGCAGCTAGGGCTGAGACAATACAAAGAAGCCAGAAACCTGACTGGAGAGGTAGAGACGCCAGAGGTACTGAGAAGGATGAAGGGGCTTAGAGCACATGAGGTTTTAATGACAATTAAAACAGACTTTTGTTTTCCCTCTGAAACATGTTAAGAGGTCAATGAGAGCTCAGGTTGGTTCAGCTGTCTCTGTAGATTTCTCCATCTTGATCTTGATTCCCCTTATTCATATATTCCCTCCTCCCTTTCTTTGCCTGGATTCCTGGAGCTCGGCCAAGCTCTTAGTTGTGGATATCTGCATCTGGTTCCTTTAATTACTGGATAAAGACTCTATGATGATAGTTGTGGTACTCACCGATCTGATTACAGGAGAAGGCCAGCTCAGGAATCTTAGCTGGGGTCTTCCTTGTGGATTCTTGGGAGTTACCCTAGCACTAGGTTTCTCCCTAATCTCATAGTGGCTCTCTCTCTGTTAAGATATCTCTTCCATTGCTCTTCTGCTTCGAGTTCCTCCCAGCCTTGACCATCCTGTTCCCTCATATTCTTGCCCCCTTTCCTCCTCTTTACCGCCCCCCCCCAGTTTACCTAGGAGAGCTCATCTAATTTCCCTTCCTAGGGTGATCCCTGTGTCCCTCTTAGGGTCTTCCTTGTTACTCATCTTCTCTGGGGTTGCAGATAGTAGTCTGGTTATCCTTTGCTTTACATCTAATATCCACTTATGAGTGAGTACATGCTGTCTTTCTGGGTCTAGGTTACCTCACTCAAAGCTCATGGAAACACAAGAAGTTGAGACCACAGCTATGGAGACTCCATGGGACCGAACTAAAACTAGGCTTTCTAAATGTAGGAGACAGTTGTGAAGCTTGGTCTATCTGAGGGGTCCATGGCAGAAGGATCAAGATCTAACCCTGGTACATGAGCTAGCTTGTTGGAACTCATTCCCTATAGTAGGATGCCATGCTCAGTCTTCATGCATGGGAAAGGGGCTTGGTCCTACATAAACTTTATGTGCCAGACTTTGCTAACTCTTCATGGGAGCCCTTACCTTTGAGGAGGAGTGGAGGGGGAAGGGGGGTCTTGAAGAGAGGTGGGGGTTGGGGGGATGAAAAGAGGGGTAGGCAAGTGAACTTTGGTTGGAATTTAAAATAAAATTAAAAGTGAATATATTATATAAAAAGAAGTCAAAGAGAGCTCTTAGTAGAGTCCTGTCATGACCATTTTAATTAAAATAAAACTTTTATAGATTCTTTGTGTATTCACATCATGCATCCTGATCCCATTCATCTCCGCATCCTTTTATATCCATTCGTTGCCTTCTCAGCCTCCCTCCTTCTCCCTTAATAAATTTTAAGGGAAAACCAAAAACAGATAAACAAACAAACACAGGTCTCATCGTGAAAGCTGTAGTGTGACACACTGAGTCACACACTATTCCAAGTAGTCCATACACACATCTTCACTTGTAAGTATTCATGGCTATGAGTCATTAGTCTGGTTTGAGGCCTGCTACACCCTCTATGCTGGGCCCTCACTGGGACTCTCTCTTGGAGATCCTGCTGTTGCCTTGTGTCGTAGAGATCCTGCAACTTTGGGTCTGAAAGTTCGTCCCCTTTACATGCTCCAGTAGTTCAAAGATGAGGTGGATGTTGGTGTGGGCCGACTCATAGCCCTGGTTCTGGGCCTGGGTGGTAGCAGTGTTGGTCAGCCTGCCAGCTTTCCTTCCTTGTCACCACCAGGGCAAGCTCTCCAGCAGAGCCCTGGCTAGCTCATCCATGGCAGTAATTTAACAAACTTACTCTGCTAAATTTAAAACACATTGTAGGGGGAGACAATGATGGACAACTTCTCAAATTACTGTGGCATCCAAGGCAAGTGAATATAGGAGTCCTTCAGTAGATGTTTCTTCAAATTTAGCCATCTATAATTCATCCTTCAGACTTGAGTTCAGCTAGCAGCTATTATCCCATCTCTGTCCTTAGAAAAAAATGTATGCATTTCTGTTCATATGTACATTAATATGTATGTTTTCATGTAAACAGCCTGTCAGCTTGTAAGGTAATAGCATACCTTGGACCACCTAGAGCTGTTTCCTTTCTTACATAGATCTGGTTCTACTTCATCTTTTACCTACACACTGGAATAGCTCTCACTGCGCATTCTAGTTAGCAACCAGATTTATTTTCCTTGATGATGGCTTCTTGAACTTGTCTGTCAGGACCCAGAAAGAGTCAATAATCAAATATAAACTAAAATTAAAATGTTTTCTCATTAGGGGAGGTGGCTCAGTAAATGCTACATTAGCATTAAAATCCAAATTTGGATTCTCAGTATTCCCATAGCCATTTACAGTGGCCCACATCTGCAAATCCAGGTCTGGTTGAGAGGGAGAGATAGGTGCATCTCAGAACTGTTTGATCAGCCAGCAGAAGGAGACAGTAAAACCATGTCCCAACAATGGAGATGGTGGAGAGTGACAGGGGACATTAGATGTCTGATCTCCAACTGAGCACAGGTACATGAGCATGCACATGCATACACATGGGCTCACGTGTGCACATGCACAACATTGAAGTCTTCTCTAAATCCCATCCAGTGCTTTAACAAACTACTTGAGCCAATTAATCACCCTTCTCTCAGATTTATCTCTGTCCTCTCTACAGTATTTTCAGGCTTTGAGAATTCAGATTTGAATATTAAAAGATGAGTGAAAACTTCACAAAATGTATGTTCTCCTCAGATTTTTTTAAATCTTCAAGAACCCAAATTTATGATTCAATGTAGAAACATCCTATATACACATCCCCTATCTAGTATCAAATTAATCACCCCTTCCAGGGAGAAAGCAAATTACGCTAGTGATTACTACAAGCAAGCAGGTTACTCAGAGACCAGAGATACTTGAATAAGCAGTTTTTGTTACATAAAATCAATAATTTTCAAGTGAACAATTCAGCAGACTTAGCACAATTTCTATCCACCTTTTAATCAGCCTGAGGAAGCT